TTCATTTAATACGGCTGTGATCACCTGTTCAACATCCTGCACTTTATAGCCTGTTCTGTTTGAACTTTAATAGGACCCTGTCATTCACATCTCATGGAATCAGCATTTGAATACGTCAGATACAACACAAATTCTAGTTTAATTTGACAAATGAGCTGAGTCGTGGTAAAATTTGGCGCTCAAGATACCGTCAGCAATTTTATGACGAAACTCGGCTGCGCTGCAGTTTTTCGGTTTGCTTCTCGGTGCCTTGTTTTCGAATCGAGCAGTGATAAACTAAGATTCAAATTCCTAAAAATGTTTACTCTATCTTCGTCCCATATACTCACAGCCAGGGTACAGTTAAAACCTTGAACGCGCCCGCCAGGTCATTGTTGGTTGAAAGCTAATTACAGGATACATTAATTCACAAGATTCTTCAACTTATCCCTGAATTTTATTCCGCTGTAACCACGTTTTTAGTTATTTTGATTAGCAAGCGTACGTTTGGTCTAAAAGCACTCACTTGAGTCTGTCATATATGTGCTTCTAATTATTCCCGAGGTAGTTAATTTACTGAGTCCACAGCGCGAGAGCGATTCCCTAACAGATAACTTTGTCTATGTTTTCCTTTTAACCACTATGCTCCCTGCTAAAAAATTCAACTAAAAGGCTTCATGTCTCGGGCTGAGGCAATGAAATCCGCAAGGGGCCGTGGACTTTCAATAACGTCTCATCAGGCCTTAACGCCGGATTGTTTCACAGATAATGATGTTTTTAATACTAAAATATTTATTTCAAAGTTACTCTCTAGCAGCACGGGCGACTTGGGACAAACTGTCTGGCATCCCCAGAATGCTCCCGATGCTTTTTGCATGTTTCTCAATTATCAGCTACACTAAAACAGATTTAATGTTAAAATGAAAAAGGTGCCGTTGTTTATTAAGTGAATTGGTTTGCGGCCATTTTAAACATTCCCCATTAGATCTGCATATGATGGTGAAAAGCATTTATAATTTAGTAAGCAGCAGGTTGTTACATGATAACACGCCATTTCTTCAAAGAAAAACAACTAAAAAATATCTACGAGAAATCGTTCCATGTTGGACGATGGTCAAATGGAAGGAAAAGTAGTCCAAAAGTAAATGGTTATGTGAATTCTCTTCGTGATTTAGGGATCGAGCGAGCACATGCCATTTCCATGTGCGAGAATTGTTAGTAGTCCCAGAAGCGATGAATGCAGTATTTTGTTCAAGTACATCTTCGCTTCTTTGAAAATACTGCGTTAGCTATTTCTTTCGGTTAAGTAAATTAAACCCTAGGAGATAGTTACTGGTTCTCACTATTCGTACCTTTTTCGAGGTCTTGTCCACTATCAAGGGATGCGCAATTGAATGAACCAAAAAATAAATACACGTTAGATAAATAAACAACTTACTCATTCGCGCCCATTCTACTGAAGATGACCGAGGAGATCCAAAAGATGAAATATAAGGGCACCATGATGAATGAAATTCGACTGGGTTTTAACGTTAACTCGCTGTGATATCCAGCCAAAATGGGTAAATTATAAACCACTTATTGGTCCCTTAGGTTGTATTCATTTATGTCCCGTTTCTATTGGTTCCTTAACCAGACATTCACAAACAACTCATATAACCGAATATTCAATACTAAAACCCCCCAAAGTTTTGGGATAAAGTTGATTACCAATTCCATCTAACAATTATTATAAGAGATCTACACGACAACGAATAACACTGACCAACTCACTTACAGTTGACAAGGCAACTTGTTTCCTTAATTTGTAAGTTACAAAAGCCAAATAATTTTCTTTCCTTTCTTTTTTTTCTTTTTTTGTTTTTTTGTCGCCTGTCGGTCACTTATGAGTATTTAATCGGACGATCTCCAAGACAATATTCAAATAAAGGGTAGCGGAAATGGTGTCAGTGTTTTTTCAAAAATCTGGATGTCTTTTAAATTTTAAGTATTAGTTTATTAAGCAAAACCTGGTTGTCATATTTTCCAGAAAGCGTACTTTTTGTGGCAAACTCACTCTACACCTCTGTATTATACAGTCGTGTGAAATTCGTCGTTTGCTTTTAATTAATGAAGAAAAAAAAATAACAATTTGCGGGAGTGACAAAAAGTCGCGCCGGCTGTTTTTAGAAATAATTAAAAAATTCCACTGACTTAGAGCCGAGACGAGTTATCAATATCATAAGGAAGAACAACTGTTTTGTCATGGGAGCACTTCAAGCGGTTCACGTGGCAGATTATCATAAACTTTTTCTTGTTTCTGCTCATTATCCATCTAATAAATTTGATAGTCACGTGACTGTGTCTGCCAGCCCGCCCGCCCGCTAGCGCCCCCGTCTTCCACCCGACAACTCCATAATCCTTCCGCACCACAGTGAATCAATGTGAATTGCAACAGTTTTTATCTGCTGTGCGTTGCTGAAACCTGAAATCAGTTACACATTTTTGTTATGGTCAATTGTCCAAACAGGGCATCCACTGACCAGTATCACATGATGTTCGTGAGTTCCCTCGCTCGCATTCAGGGATAAAAAAGTCGTTTTGCGTGCTTTTGCGCACACTGAAAGCGTGTTGTGCTTTTTCGCACGGAGCTTTTGTTTGAAAACTTTAAAACGCTCTTTTGTTCTACTTGCTCACGCTTAATTGTCTCAAGCGTGTCCTCTGAAACAAAAGAAATTGCTAATGAGGCAAGATTGCAAGCGTGCTAAAGCGTATTAAAATAAATTCTTTTGTTTTAAAATGAANCCACTGACCAGTATCACATGATGTTCGTGAGTTCCCTCGCTCGCATTCAGGGATAAAAAAGTCGTTTTGCGTGCTTTTGCGCACACTGAAAGCGTGTTGTGCTTTTTCGCACGGAGCTTTTGTTTGAAAAGTTTAAAACGCTCTTTTGTTCTACTTGCTCACGCTTAATTGTCTCAAGCGTGTCCTCTGAAACAAAAGAAATTGCTAATGAGGCAAGATTGCAAGCGTGCTAAAGCGTATTAAAATAAATTCTTTTGTTTTAAAATGAAAGCGTATCGTGCGCGTGCTTTTACCTTTAGCATTAAAATCCTATGGAGGGTCACATTCGTTATTAACATGTACATGGAGGGGTTAGGTTTTAAAGAAACTGGGTTGTTGCGTCAGTGAGGGAGTGAAATACGTTTATCAAGTGAATTGATAAGATTAATTGTCCATCTGACGATCGCTCGAAACGTCAGCTTCTCCATCTCTCTACGGTGGCCAATCTACCACATAAAAATTAAGTTAATGTTACACGTTTTTTGCCTTTTCCCTGGTGTCCTTGACTGAATTGAGCTCATTCTGGTATGGTTTGAAAGATCTCTGCACTCTACTCATTAGGACAAAGTTGTCCTTGACCATTAAAACTGATAACTTCACTAGCTGTAAAAAGAACGTGGATGCGCACGGGCGGTTACAGACGCCTCATGGGCGAATGGGTTAATTGAGATTTAAAGAAATACATTGTCGGTGTGCAGAATTTTCAATTAACACTTCAATGCGTTTTATCAAGAGCCATAATGGCTCTTGGTTTTATTTTTAGTATTTTTGAGTTATCACTTTACACGTTACAGTATTAGTTTATTGAAATTTGGTTAAGGCATGTCGTAAGGCTAAACAAAACAACAACAAAACGCCATTCGTTCAGTAGAGCCCTTAGGTGGCAGTTGATACTCGTCTTGTCCAACTTTTTTTCTTCAATTGGTGGGGGAAACTTTATATACCACTTTTAAAAATACGTCGCCTTGCAGTTGTGTATGTGTGCGGTGCGTGTGTGTTTATAAAAGCAAGTAGTCTTTTTTTCAAGCGAGAGTATAAGTATGTGTTACGCAGAAGTTACTGCTATAATCTTCGTTACGTTGTGTCACTACTGATTATCTCCTTCGTTCTTTAAATATGATTTCTATAGCTTTTATCCTTCTTCGCAGGCTCCTCCAAGGCTAATTGGGGATCGTGGAGGCAGTTAGAGAGAGCTAGGCCTCTTTTCCCCTTCACGACACCCCCTTCGCCACTTTCCTCAAAATCAACATAATATTATCAAGAGCTCATTCTCTGCTTACATTATATAAGAAAAATACTCCTGGTTAAGCTCGCAAATCGCGAGCGTTTGGGGTCGAGGCAAGCGCTGTAGTCTGTTAGTTTGATATGATATATAGACTATACCTGATTATTGGCAATTACTGGCCACGCTATTTGATAAAGGGCCAAAAAAGAGTATTTCAATACTCTCTCTAAGCGCTTCAACCTTGTTTTCAGCGTTCTCTCCAACTCGTCCCTGCAGAGCGACATACTAGGGAGCAAGAAAGAGAAGCCTAGGAACGACGTGTGCAAGCGTGCATCGCCCATTTCCCTCCTTTCACCTGCACGCAGTGATAATTGCGCCACGTATTGTTGAACATATTTAGCTTACATCTACATACTTAGATTTACTACCTATATCTGAGATAGTATGCGAGGTTAAATATGAAGAAGGTCAATGGAAAAACGATCCGCGCAATTCTGTCAAATATGTCGACTTCATTATTGGAACCCAGGCCCAGACAGAAACTTGGAATACACTGTATGATGGTAGTCCTCGGTGGGTTGGTCGTGTAAGGACTGTGTTGAATAGCCGGGCCAGGTACGTTCTGTAAGTTAACAAATATAGTCATCATTAACGTTTCCTTGATAAAAGAGTTTTGGTGATTAACATTGCTCTTGAAAAAACAAAAATTACTCGACTAACAAACCGAGGGAACAAAAACAAAAACAACAACGAAAAAAGACAAAGAAAGAGAAACAAATAAACAACAAATAGACAAACATTTTAAAGTTATTTTTGTGAAAGGTCGAATAAAAGTTCCTATCAATTAAGTCAAATGTGCCTCATAACAGAGGTGTCTTATCGCAAATTCGCTTCATTAGGTTCATTGCACAATTTGCTCTGTTGCGTTACGGCAGTTATCGTATTTAATATGCTCAATTTATTTACTAGTCGGTTAGCTTACCTTTACCTGTCTAGGATAAGAGTTTCGAAGAGCAGATTTTTGAGGTAAACTGTAGGATGAAGGTGATCGAGGGGGAAAACCATGAGCTGATTTAGGTCTTGGCGGCAAACTATACGAAGAATGTGACCTAGGAACTACTTCAGAGTCTTTGGTGTGAAATGTTTCTATTTCCATTTCTGCCATAGAATAGTCTTTTGATGTTGAACGCTTCCCTCTAGCTTTTGCTTTTTTCCTTTCGCTGTGCATGAGAACTGCCACATATTCCAGAAGTACACCGAAGACAAAAATGAACGACACTATCAAATAAGAGTCGATAGCTTTGATATAGGAAACCTGAAAGAGATATGCGAGTTTTAAATTACAGCCAGTTCTCCCATTAGCCTGAGAAAACAGCCGACATTTGGCGACGCTAACACTGGTTTCCCCGCCAAATGAGGTCTGAGAAACGAGCGCAGAAATTCCATACTGATGACACGTCACTACCCAGATCTGGGTAGTGCTTCTGATTGGTCGTGCAGCGCGGGAAATTTGATTGAACCAATCAGAAGCACTACCCAGATCCGGGTAATGACGTGTCATCAGTATGGAATTTCTGCGCTCGTTTCTCAAACGTCATTTGCCGGGGAAACCAGTGGTAGCGTCGCCAAATGTCTAATGTCAGGCTATTCTCCCATGTGAAGGATCATTGTGAGCGGCCAACTTGATAGCCTGTTCCAGGCTCCGAGATGGTGGTGGAAAGTCGTTCAGTACGTTCCCACTATACTATCTGAGAGCCTGGCACAGGCTACCAACTTGAGCACTGACTTATCCAAAACACCAAAAACGAGAACCACTTTTAAGCGACCAATGAGAGGTAATTAAATGTTGGCATTTTTGGCCGTGCTTGCTTAATCAAAGGGTTGACTGTATTGTCATGATTGATACAAACTGCGCTTCGTTTTCTAATGATAATGGCCGCACATCAAGATTATTCAGTTTTAACTGAATTTCCAACAAAAACACTTCATCCCAGAATATCTCCGACGCTCTTAAAAATGTCATTAAAACCTCACAAACAGTGGGAAAGCTATTAGTGGAAAAGGCTTCCATGATAGACTTTGGAAGTATAATATAATCCATGTGCCGATAAATTCGGCTGCGAGTAAAATATTAAAAAAAAAGGAATGACGTCATTTCGTTGCTATGACAACTCTAACGCCATTGACCCTGATCATAACAAATTTCAATTCATCTTTATCTAATACCGTCATCTGTGGAAGTAATTTCCCCAAATTTCCTTTAATTGTGATGTAGCTTAAACGCTTAAACATGACAGCCACCTTAACTCGATTTACATTCTATGTAAAAAAATACTTTAGTGTTTAAAACATTTGTCTTTTCCTCTTTTTCATGTTATGATGGGATTTTTTTTCAACAGACATTCTTTAAATAGAAGTTGTCAATGAGTGGTATTTTTCCTATCCTTAATATGTTTTTACAGCTAGAAGTTTGGTTATTCCTTCTTCGCAAAAGTGATTAATCTCCCGCTACTTTTCTTCCAAACGTGGTCAACGCTAGCTCTAGCGAGTTATGAAGAATTAGCCAGAGGATTTAAACCAATCACAAACCGAAATATTTTGAAAAAATAATGTGCAAATAATATTAACTGATTTAGTTGTAGCCTGCAGGTTGTTGTAACCTAGAACTCAGGCATTGCTTGTCATGAGCACATCACCGTAAAAGGCAAGCAAGTAGACTATATACCTTAGGGACGGAATTCCTGAGAGAACCCATGAGTGTAACAATAGTCAGCACTGTTGTTATTCCAAGGGCAACTCTTGCAGGGACCGCATCTTTAGAGATCCAGAACGACAGCCATGAGAGAACCACAATAAGAAATGTCGGAGAGTAAATTTGGATAAATGAATACTCCAGCCTTCTTCGAAAGACAAACTTAGCCACAAGGTGAGTATATGTACCTGTAAAAATAAAAAGATAATATTAAAAATAATTAAAATAAATATAAATAATTGAAATATAAGGAAATGACACAAACAGAGTCTTGTTGAGACAGACATTTCAGGAATCAAGATTACGATTATTTAATCCAGTAAGAAGCTTTGAAGTGGCATGATAAGTCTCAGATTATTGACCCAGACCGTACAAGTGTTTTTACCGGCAACGTTTATCATTTGATAGATGTTACCGGATTCAAATTAGTCGTTACCTAAATAACCAAGAGTGCACATTGGAAAAAAAGCATACCGACACTTGCAATAACGGTTTAGGAGAGGTCAGTTTTTTGACTGGAAAATAATTGTATTAGTTATAAGTCTATCATGCATAGTATTGTCAGAAATCTCCGTTACAGTCACATCGTTTCGTGTCCGGTTCTTGCTTTCCGTTGTGTTATAATCGTGGTCCAGTTTAATTTGCAATGATCGAAATCGTGCAGGGTGCATAACAAATCCTAGTCGAGTCAACTCACGGAAGAAAAATCGCAGAAGACACCTGTGGCCATTGGTTACAAAATCCGCAATGTATATAATTTTCCCTTCGGTAAATATCCAAAAGTGTACCTAAACCTACGTTATTACTTTTCAGCACATGTTTTCGATTCAAGATGAGAAACATCTCTTTATAAATGGCACGAATTTAATGTATCAGAGTATAATGTAAGATTAGAATGTATCCAAATGTATCAAAATATAATTATAAGTTAAGACATTCTAATGGATATTTATGAAAAGCTTTGACCTGACAAATACTGTTGTATAAATGATACCTATGACATATTCCACGAGTTTCCTCTCAATTTGGGCATCGGCAAGCTCAAACTCTGACATCTCATCATCCAAGATGATAAGCGCTTGTGCGTCATCCCAGTGATAATCCATGTCATTTATATCGTAAGAATCTATCAAGAAAATGGAATATATTATATAACTGAGAAGACCGTTGGCAAGTCGTCAGAGTGCTTGAACGAGAGGACCGTCAACCCTATCGAGATATAAAACGGAGGGAAATGGCTGCGTTGAGAAGTTCATAGTTTCAGAGCAATTGGAGAAAAAAAAGGACATTTCCAGCCATGACTTGGTCTGAAGACTTTTCGGTGCAAGTCAACAGATTGGCGTTACGATACATTTATACATTTTTCGAAACTCGGCTTGTTATTCCAAACGTTTTCATAGTCTTCTTGCATCAGTTTCAAACATCATCACTCTTAACTAGCATTTTTTTTCTGATCCCAGGTTAATTTCTGCGAATTTTGGGCATAAGAAATCACATGATGCAAATGCAAGTAAATGGCAGCAATGAGAAAAGATGACGTCATTACGTTTCGTAAACAACTATAATTCTTACACATATTCTGACTTTCCGCAAATTTCTTAAATTTTATTATGCAGGCTTGGTTTTAATAAGATCGATAAATTAGCCTTAAACGCAGAAGATACTTGCCATGAAGCTGTATAAAATTACTTACAACTTAAAATTTCGAGGATGCATGTCTGTGTATCCAGAGGGTAGTCTCTAAGATCCATTCTGCAGGACGCAGAAACTGTCAACCTTCAAAAAGGAAAGATCCACTTAGTTGGTAAACAAATAGATAAATTGCTAAATATACTAATAAATTATAAGCAACGCTATCAAGGAAATACCATCGTTAAATATATAAAATGAAATCATCATTCTTAAAACCTTCTGTGGTACTTATTTGCCTTCTAAAATAAACACAGCGAAAACTAGTAAATGAATTGACATGTGTTTGCCCTTTAAGCCTACTCTCATCGATGATTGCATATTATGGAGCTAAGTTCAGTAATACATTTTATTGGCCCAGTAGTCAATTGAAAGCTTCTTCGATTACACTTTTTATTCAATACTGTAACATATTAAGTTGTTTTTCTATAACTAATTCACTGTATGTAATAAAAATAACAAAACCATCAGAAAATCATCCACGCCATACCTTTCACTGAGTTCAACATCTCCATTTGGGTTTATTGCAATTCTGCTGTTTGCTGCAGGTACATGATGGAATTTTGCTGTCTTTACATTTAAAAAGAAGGTGTCAGGAAGCCAAAAATTGCTTTTATCACTTCCAGAGAGTAGAATCGGCTTTTTAAGTTCGTGGACCAATCTTGGATCGTTCCAGGCTTGCTTGAAAAATATATCGAGGCTGAATTCCTTAGACATAACACAAATAGAAATGTTTTCATTCATACGGTACTTCGGTCGAAGAAAAAATTTAAGGTAGGTTTTCGACAAATTAATTGTCAATGGAGCAAAATTGAATATATCAATTGTCTGATATAAAATAGTAATTATTATAATGACAATAATAATATACTTATATTAAGCAAATGTTTCATGCATGCATGCATTTCGAAGAAGAACTCTCAAAAACCAGCCATAGATTTTAAAATGGTTAAACAAGCATTAGACGGTTGCAATAATTTTAAGTCCGAAATGTTGTTGCCTTACAACACATAATTATCACAGTACGCATCGGGTGTAAACTGTTTTTGTTTTACCTTGCTTGTTTAGTTTGTTTGTCAGTTTGTTTCTTAATTCGGCAAAAAATTTATGGATTTTCTTTCTTGTTTTGTATTAGCTAGAAAGATTTTTATAACCACTATAATAGTACCCAAACATTTCTAGAAAAACCAAATTGGCTGATCTTATTTGCAACTTGTTAAAATATCGTGGTAACTTACCATGTTGATTTCTTTTATGGCACCAAATGAAACAACTGTTATATAAACTGAAATGTTCAAGGGAGGACCTGCAATAGTTCGTTATTAAAGCTTAAGCAATTTAATTAACTATACATGTAAATCCCAAACGATATTTTTCTGTCATATGCGTCTTATTTGAGTGTATTCTTACGTACAGTGTTCAGCACTACCTGTCTTGTTTGCCTTTCTTAGAGCTCTGTATAAAGATCTCTCTTACTTTATATATTTAGGCTTTCCCCTCCGAGATCTTAAGGTAAACCAAATGATTCTGGGATCCTCACTGGGGATGCGCCGGTCAGCTACTACGCATGGCTACTTCCGAGTTCCCAAAACCCTCACTTTCAAGATGAGGCCAAATTTGCACGACCTTTCTTGTGAAAATGAGTTTATTTGCATGAGAATGAAAAATCATTTCCATATCAAAGGCTGAGTACTTAACCTCGTTTTGATAGTTCGTGTAAGTTTCAGTTCTTTGCAATTATATCACTTACAAAGAAAATAGTAGCAATTAAAAACTGCAAAATTACTGGGTGGCAAAACGTTATTACTCTGTTATTACTTCTAACTTTTATTTAAACGTAAGACTGAAATGATGGTTGTAAATTACTTCTTATAATCAATTAGCTTCTTTTTTCTGACTCAACAAAAGGGTGCCTGTTTTCCTCACAATTAGTTTCTGTTTAAATAGAGGGTATTAATTCTTCATTCCTGGGTAAAAAGAAAGTTTCCTCTTATCGATTACTGCAACCTGAAATATGGTCTAGATTAACCTAAATAATTAAGGGGCAACTGACAGTTTTTTGCATAAGGTGGAGAAAGAACGACAGCTTTGAAACTGGTCCTGAAAAGGGCTGACGTACCTTCGTGGTAAGGTCTGATCCTTTTGTCGTATACGCCAGCTGCGAATAGTGAATTGAGCACCTGAGTTGTATTATGGTAACCTCTTGGATGTAAAAAGATCAATAAAGCATCATACATTAGAAATAAAATATCAAATTTAGTTTAATTTTAAGTCGAATAAACTATGTGGGGAATAAACTAAATAATGGAAATTTTTTATAATTCTATAATATAATTGAGTCACCAAATTGCTAGAACAGTCAATATGAGGACAGACGTGCGTATATAAGATTACGTGCTCACTGTTGTGTTTATAAGATTCGGATTTCTACATCCTGAGTGCTAATTCTTTCTCGTATAGAACTTTCTCTAAAACGTCCTGCCTCCATCCAAAACTCGATATATTCACGTTAAAGCAGTTAAGCATGAACCAGTTCATTATTTAACAATTAATGAATGAGGCTGAGTATCTTATGAAGAATTACGGAGATCGAGGAGGGTGTTATCAAATAGCACCCTTCGAGATCTCCATAATTCTTCATATTATGCGAAAGCCGAATTCAATAATTGTTTTATTATTCATTCAAAATAATTCCTAGTTTTAAAACATGGCTAAAACGTGCTTACCTCCATCGATTCACCGATGTTAACTTCATCTTCGATACAGCTGGATAGTGACGTTTAGGGTTGTTCGGCTCTGCAAATATTCTCCAAAAAGCAGATGTCGCCCTTCGAGTTGTGTTCTTGCTGTTCTTGCCATGTTTTTAGCTATAATTTCGCCTAGTTCTTACTCTCGAAACGAGTGAAATGTCCGCCATTGTTTTGTTTTCACAACCAAAACAACTCAACCCCGTCCCCATATATGTCTTCTCGGTTAACAGTGCATTAACCTACAAGAACGCTACATTTTTGACGTCATTTCCTCGCTAAACACAAAATTCTTCCAAATTTGGTCATTAGTAACTGGTTATGGTGAATTATACGTGTACTTTTAGCCAATCAGAATCGGGGAAATCTTTTGAATGAATAATATTAAATATTATTTAAATTTAACAACGCATTTAATGACATTTCAAATGTATTTTCTGTTTGATCAGCGAAAACGAAATAAAGTCCCATCCGTTCGCCCTCCCGTCTCTTCGTTTTCCTACCCTCCTCTTTTCCTTCCTTCATTCCTTTCTTCCTTTCTTCCTTAGTCCTTCCCTCCTTCCTTTTTTTTCTCATTCGTAAAATCCGTGATATTAAAACATGCAAAGAGCTGAAATAGATTCAATTCCTAGAACAATAACATTTGTACACATTTTAATTGAATCAACTGATACATAATCTGCTCTCATTCATTTAATCATTCCATTATTAGAGCAAATCGCAAGAACATTATACACTCAAGATCTGGAAGCACTGCATATTTGGTTTACTCTACCTTGCGTTAATGTTTACTTCTGCTACTGATCCCAAGCAGTTAAGTCCCGCTAAAATCACGATCACAGCTTGAAACTTCAGCATTGTATAAAAGATTTTATCGTCCAAAACAAGAGATACTGCGGGACATTATCAAAAAAGAACAAAGAGGACATTATAAGCGTCCATCATAATCACACCAAGAGTGAAATTGCCTTTTAGAGGTGCAAACATGAGAGTGTATGCCTCATTAGGAAGGAATGTTTTCAATTTATCAATAGTCCAGATTGGAATGACTGAAATTTATACTTGTGTCCGAGGCTCCGTGTCAGATTATCCACAACATTGAGCCTTTTAGCATATAAAAATGATACGTTCCATATCAGAGTTTTTTGGTTAATGCCAAGCGGCATTATGGCAGTACTAAAAGAAAGAACTTAAAATATTGAATAGGAACATTTTTCTTATTAAATGTAATCATGCGTCGCTTCTCTGATACGTTTTATCGAATCATTCCTAAAATGAAACCTTAATCATTTCTTGGTTGTGTTTTCGTGCACAAAAAATTACCTTCAGTTGGCTGTAAAGTTCCTGCAAAGTCTCTTACGTTGTACTTTACTGATATAGCTGTAGTACATTTGGATCAATTTTATTATGACTGTTGCAATATTTTGCTGAATAATGAGACAGACGAAATTAAAATTTTCAAGGAAAAAAAATCCTATATTATAAGCTTCATTTAAAACTTGTGTTATTAAAAAAGGAAACAAAAGCATACACCCTCGGGTAAAATGGTACTCACCATTTAGTAGAATTCACTGTTGTTCAACGATGTAATCTCAGGCAATAATCGTTATGAGGTACTTTTAAAATTATCAACAGGAAAAGCATGAATGTGAATTATCATTTTATGGTTGAGGATACTTTAAGAATTAATGAGTTTGCTTTGTGTGGTTAGCCAATTAAATATGTTGATACTATGATTGGATGTCGAGATTTATCAGTATTTGTTTAATTTGCAAAGCATCGGTTTACAGATACTTATTTATGTTATTAACTGCTGAGCGCTATTGGTATTTACACTTTTTACATCGTAGAAAGGCTTGAAGCATTTATCTCCACCATATTGGTAATTGATTTAAGTACACAAGGTTGAAATGTGTGCGCGTGAGCGGGTCCGCAGATAGGAGATTTCTGAGTAGTGAATTAGTTGTATTTCATTTGATTACAACCCAATGCCATTAAAAAGAATGTCACCTCGGTTAAAGAATTATCTCTTTTAAAGTTGTAAATTAAAAGTGAAAAAAGAAACAGCATCATCAACAACAACAGGGAGTTTAAGATACGGCGACTACGGACTACGACTACGGTTAAACATGCTACTGCGCATGATCAAAACCACGTGACTGTTCATTTTTCCCGCGTAGTCCTGCGGGCTACGGTGAGTTGTTGAGCTGTTTCGCGTAGTCGCGACCACGGAGAACATTTTGCTCGTAATTTGCCGTCTCGTTAATTCTAAAATCTCGTATTTTCGCAAAAAAGCTTTCAATTCACCGGCTTTAAGTGAGAGGGAAGCGAAATATGTAAGTTGTGTCTAATTTCTTCTCAGATTTACGCTTTTAATCCACTCGAACCACTTCAGGTTGTGACTAATTTTTATCTAAAACTAAGCTCATATTTAAATAAGCTTAGCTGTTTATACGTAGAATTCAGATTGACGGCCGAGGAAAAGAGAAATCATGCAGGTGATTTACTTTCTCCTCGCACTTAAAAAGTTTCAATGTTTATTCGAACTGATTAGTGTGTCTTTCCACTTGTTTATGCGAGTTTTTGTATCGCATTTGCTGAATGAAAATGATGTAAACATCTTCGAGAAAATCGAACACGGCATTTCAATACTTCAAACTACATCAGATCAGCAGTCCGTGAAGTTCATCTTCTAAATCTTATCCATGAGCTATTACTATTTCGGTCTATTTCTTTAATATTTGACATAAGTATTCATGCATGGGCTAAAAAAAACAAAACCTGTGTAACCATAACTTTGTTCACCAACTTCACCCCGCGATGTAATTGCTACCTTCAAGTATGGAAGAATTTGCTCATTGTTCTAAAGATAAGATCACATGCAAAACTGACTTGTATTTTTGTGAACTATGATAAAAACAAGAAAATCTTTGTGTGCTGTTTCCCTCTCGCTCCTCCTCTTCTCTCGTATTCTACTGTCTGTAGCGCAATCTTAATGTTCTATATTTGCACGACTCAACCCAGTGCTACAAACAAAGGACAACGCTCGTCCAGCCGTAGTTCGTAGTCCGTAGTCTCCGTATCTTAACTTCCCTAATAACAACGACGACGACGACAACTACAGGAACAAATAATTTCCATTTTGTTTGTTGATTCAGGGCTCCTTGTTTATTGTTCTATGGGATAGTTTTGGCCATTTTAGTGCAGAGAAGATGACAAAGAACTTGGCAGGTACAACGAATGTAGTATCTGGCGGTTGGCAAAAAAGAGACAATTAGTTTGCTTCAGGCAAGTTATATAGATTTATAGAGTGGATTTATTTGCAAAATTTATTACTCAGTCGCATGGCCGTTGCCATATTGTTTTCTTGTTCAGAAGGGATTTCGGCTTTTCATGCCATGGACACTATGAATCCCTTTTCCATGAAAATCCCTCGAAAATGCGTTGAAAAACCCGTGATGAAACCGTTGTTAATGGCCATGAAAACAGAGATTATCATGGTTTTTATATTCGCAGCATAAAATTTCCATCACGTTTTAAGGGGGTGGTTTTCATGGGCCACG